CTGCCTTTTCTGGTGGTGCTGACACTTGGACAGTTTAATTAAGTCACTGGGAGTTGACTCAACAATCTCCCCCTGCCCTGAAAATCATTCACCCTGCTCTCTTCTGCCACAGTTCTACCTGTTTGTGAAACCATGTTATTCAGTTGCAACATGTTCTCAAACAGTCATTCATTGTTTGCACTCATCTATTCAACATTTAGGAAGCCCCCACTATGTGCCAGCCATTCTGCTAGGTCCCGGAATAGAATAATGAAAAAGGAGACCAGGCTAATGGGGACAACAGATGTCTAAACACAAAATTACAATGTGTCATTAAGTGCTATGGAATTACTAAGGGAAAATATTGATTTTGTCATTTATTCAGTCGTTTATTTATTTTCTCTCTATTTATGGGGTCTCTACCATGCACTAGGCAACAGGCCCATTCTAACATTTGTAAGCCAGGACAAAGATAGACATGGGAGCCATTAGTCTGAATCTGTTCCTCCTACTCTTTTCTTCCCATTTCTGAGACCATCAAATATGTGTGTGGACCCCTCCAGTCTGCATGTATAAGTTTTTAACTACCTATCCACAGAGCCTTTTACAACCAGTGAGAAGTTTCTATGGACCTTAGAAGCAACTTTTGGCTTGTTTGAGTAGGGAGTGCTGGGGTTTGGGACACAGAGAGTGGTAGGGGGGTTTTGGGTGGGCATGTCCTTTTGGCTCTATTCACTCCTTCCTCTGAAGTTGGGGACAAGGACAAGGGAAAGCCAGAGGGACTCAAAAAGGCAGCCTAAACATCCCAGCATCCCGGGGGGCGGGGGGGCCGGGGGAGCTCATTAGAAATGCAGGCTCTCAGGCCCCACTGCAGTTCCTCTGAATCAAAATCTGTGATTTAACAAGATCCCTAGGTGATTCCATTACACTCTGCCCTAAGGGCCCTAGTCTAATCCCCTCTTTTTATAAATGAAGAGACTGAGGCTGGCTAATACCCAGGGCAGGAGGAGGGGCCCCGTTTGGCGCCAGATTCCCCCAGGTCTGAGAATATACGCCTATATTTCCTGGCACCTAGGTATACTCTAGTGGAAAATATGTGCTAAAGCAAATTTGAGAAGAAACATCTTTCAAATAACTCAGATTAACAGAGTCCTGGAATAAGAGATTTATGGCAAGTGACCCATGGAAGAGAATTCCACTAAATTGCCTGCAAAGTAATTAAAGGAAAGTCAGTGATAACAAATCACCCCAGGTAAGAAGCTGAGGAAGGATTGAGGAACTTTTTTTTTTTTTGTGTGTGTGTTGTTTGTTTCTGGGTCCAATGCAAGTGAGCCATGGGGGACTTCCATAGGCAAAGTGAACTGTCCCCCACTTTTTTTAGGCATCCCTTTTGGCCTTTATTTGCTATATATTGTTTTCCTGCTCTTTCTGATGCCTCCATATTTTCCTGTTTTTCTTCTTTGCTTTTCTTAACTCAAATCACTCACCATGCTCTGAAGAACATGCAACAGAGAGAAGTGAACAGAACATGATTTAAAAATACGGTCCAGTGCCTGTTGCATGATGTAATCATACTGATTCCTGTTGATTTTAATAAAACATATTATGGGGCTGGAGGTGTAGCTCCGTGGTAGAGCTGGTACTTTGCATCTGTCAGGCCCTGGGTTCAATCCCCAGAACCATCAAAAGTTATGTAATTTTTACTTATACATAAAATAGAATTGCATTTTTTATACCAATCCTTTCACCCAGCTACAATTATCAACATGTTGCCAGCTGTGTTCCAGTTTTATCTATCCTGTCTTCCCATCTCCATTTCTCTCCTCTTTTTTATTTTCTGCCTTTCCTACCTCTCTCCTTTCTTTCTCCCTGTCCTTTCTCTTTCTTGCAGGTGTTTATTAAAGCAGATCCCAGACATCGTATCATTTAACTCATTTCCTATAGAATTTCCTGGAGCCAGGGCCACAAGAGAGCCCAGACTGGGTGAATGATCTCTTGTGATTGTACTCTTCACCAAAATATGGAATTCATGTCACCAAGATAAGGGAAAACATAACATTTCTCAAACCCCTAGGTGATATTCCAGAGAGTACAGATTTTATCGTCTGTCTCCAAGACCTTCCCCTAGAGTCTTAGAGGGGGGGTCTCTGAGCACTTTTTAATCTTCCGTTACTTTTCAAAGGGTAACAGAATAACAGAAATTTGCATGTTTGTAAGCCTGAAAAAAGGTGTATATTCTCTTACTTTTGGCAAAGCATATTCTTAGAGCAGCATTTTTGAAGTTCAGATTTGTCAATGCAAAGTTTGAAGAGAGCTTCTGTGACGAGGAACCACGCTCATATATTCCCCTGTGGCAACTCCCTGAGTGGATTAGTGTAATGGTTTTAGAGAGGCTTTGAATCTGCAGCTAGATGTGAAAGCATGATACACAGATGTTTTAATGTTCACACATGTCAGATCTATGAAGTGCCAAGTAATTTGGAGGCTTGGTTATTTTCATTAGTAAATATCATCCAACTAAATTTGGGTGAAATGCCCTCTAAATAAGTCAAATAGACAGGGGCTTTGAATGAGGAAATTAATTATAGCTGGTGTCCTAAGGAAAAGAATCCCACTGTGGCATAGAGAATGTAATTAATGGGAGGTAAGCGCCAACAAATCACTCCTTAAAATATTAATGCTATCAAAGAACAGCTGGATAATGAGAGAAACCCGACCCTTGGGGGACTTGCTGAAGTTGCTATTGCTGTTGTACAACTTCATGAGGTTGCAATGTAATAAAAGTCCTTTAAAGTTTAAGAAAAAGAATATGAAGAGGTGTGGTGCTGGGAAAGTTATTAGCAGTGAACGTGTCTTTGAGTTTTATCATTTTATAAGGGTCATTACCCCTCACCTCTGCTGTGGTTGTGAATGACTTTTCCTTTAATTATTCAGAATATAACAACAATCCAACCAACATTCCTAAAAAACAAAACAACAACAACAACAAAAAACCAGATTTTTAAAAAGCCAACTTTAAGCCTGGAAAGAACATTTCTATGTATGTGTAAATAAAAACCCAGAACCTAAGAAATTTCTGCAAAGCAATTTCCCATATGCTTAAATTAAGTTGTTCAACTAAACCAAGTAAAACTTTCTCATTATTTGCCTAGGCTTAATTTGGTTTTACTTAATAGCTTATTAGCTTATTACTGTCCTAAGATATATCTCTTTTAAAGAGTGCAATAGTGTTAAATATTTACACGGTTCTACTTAACGTGTAGAATGATAGGCATTTGTTTTTATAGCCTTATAATTAAGTGATAACCTCAAGATTTAAGGTTAGAAATCAGAAGTCATTCTTTACCTGGAATACAATTTAGATTTTTTTTTTTTAAGAAACCATTTTATTTAAGGTTAAACAAAAAGGTTTCACTAGGAGCGGCACGGGCGGTCGGGAAGCTGCGGGAGTAATAAATACTTCGGACCCTACACTTGTATTACTGGTGCCTTTTGTACACTGCTTTCCTTTTGTTTCACTCAACTTGCCAACATTTAAATCAGTGGCAAGAGTATTCAGTGTGTTTAACAAATATGTTAAGATACGACGAAGATACCCCACACCTACCAATAAACGATGAGAGGAAGTTCAGGATGCAGTAAAAAGAAATTCTTGACTTGAGCCCAGATTTCACAGAACTCCAGTTTCACAAGGCACTTAGGCCGCTAAAGGAGCAGTGCCCCTGAAAATAGCACACAGGGGACACATCATTTAAATAAATGTGTTTCTTTGCCCTAACAGAAGTTCAGATCTGCTCAATTATCATTAATTTTGTCCTTTTATTTCCTTTGCGGGCGTGAACTGAGAAGTCGTGCTCTTTGAGGTTTTGCGAGTTGGCCTGAGCTCGGTGGAGCTGACCGGTGATTCTTCACCCTGCGGCGCCTGGCTTAGAGGTGGGGGAAAGGGCGAGAGTGGGTCGATTTATGAAAAAGCGGAGGCGGAGGTGGAAAAAGTTCGGTGCAAAAGTCGACTACCACTAAAAATGTCATCGGTACCGAACCCTTAGAATCAGTGTACCAGGACGAACCCGGGTCTGAGCCACAGAAGACAGATGACTCGACAAACTTTAGTCACCACACTCACCACGTTTATTTATTATTTATTTTTTATTAAATCCGTAAGAAGTAAAGCCAGTACCTCCACTCGCGAGCCAACGCGCGTGGATAGACGCAGGAACCCGGCAACCCTCAGCCTCATTCTGCGGAGTATTCCGAGCTATGCAAGAACCGGGGTGTAGGGGAGAGCGCCTGGTCCCTTCAGGTTTAGAGTTCAGTCCCCCGAGAGCGCGGTGGGCGGGGGTGGCTGCGGAGAGGCGGGGGATGGCGCGCGAACCAGAAAGTGCAGAGGACCGGCCGCTGTGATTAGCTCCAGCAGTGCGACCCCGGAGGGCGGACTCTCTCAATCCTCGCCTCCTCCTCCCTCTTCCTTTTTAAAGGACGCCTTGCAGGCAGAGCTGTCAGCAACCTGGAGGCCGGCCGATTGTACTTGGCCGCGGCCCGGCTGTCTCCAGCTCCAGTGACAGACAGGGGCGGGGGTTGAGTAGCCACTTGTCCCGGGGACCCGCACGTGGGAAACCAATTCTCTTCCCTTCGGGCTCCGTTTAGGACCCGGCGACAACCACAAGTCAGGACACTGAGCAGCCCTGGAGTTGACAGCCCAGGACGCGATGGCTTGCGTGAGGAGTGGAGAGAGAGGTGGCCGGGGACTCGGTGCTCCCCTCATTCCCAGAGCGCAATGATCTGGGCAAAGGGCGGCGGTAGCAGCCCCAACAGCAGCCTGGACCGGCGCCTCCTGAGGGCTCTAGCCAATCCGCCCCCACGCACTATGCAGACCCCCTGCCTGTGGAGCCCGCAGCGCAGCCCCTGCTGCCTCCCCGGTCCCTGCTAACCCACGAGGGCGTAGCATTGATTGCGAGGACCTGCCGCACGCGTGGTGCCCGGGGTGAGGCGGAACCGCGGTGTGCTTGAGGCCCACGCTCAGCACTTCGCTCTCTCGCTTCGAGCCCCTCCTGCCCGCTCGGGGCGCCAAACGGCGATGGGGGCGCTTGCGCTCTGCCTCTTATTAGGCTGGCTGCGCTGGGGCCCAGCGGGCGCCCAGCAGTCCGGGGAGTACTGCCACGGCTGGGTGGACGTGCAGGGCAACTACCACGAGGGTTTCCAGTGCCCGGAGGACTTCGACACGCTGGACGCCACGATCTGCTGTGGCTCCTGCGCGCTTCGTTACTGCTGCGCCGCAGCCGACGCCAGACTGGAGCAGGGAGGCTGCACCAACGACCGCGGCGAGCTGGAGCACCCGGGCATCACAGCGCGTAAGTGCCGGGCCGGGGCGGGGAGACCATTCCACAGGCGCGCGCGTGTGTGCGCGCCAGGCCTCCCTGGGTCTGCAGGCAAAGTGGAAGCAGCAGGGAAGGGGATTCAGATTGGAGTGGGTGGTCGCGTATCAGGTAAGAGGGCCCTATTTGGTTGCAGTCCGGCTTCCCGCCATACGCAGTCTCCCTGTGTCGGCCCAAGAAAAGTTTGTAAGGGACAGAGAGAGCCGCAAGAGCTTGCACCTGATGGCCCTGGGGATGACATCTGGAGCTCCCAAGAAAAGGGCCTTTTAGACGGTTTTTTTTAAACGGGGCGCCCCGGCGCCCCAACGCGCTCCACAGTCACTTCAGGAGTTTTGGGAAGTTCCGTTGCCCGGGGAGCGCGACTCTTGTCAGGCGCTCATCTGTGGCTCCGTAGGGGTAAGAAACTTAAGCCATTCCTTTTTTTAAAATTCTTTTTACCAGCCCCCTCAGTCCCCTTTTATCCTTTGGTAGCGTTTCTAAGCCCATGCCCCATTCTCCCGACTTCCTTTCATTTCTCAGCATCGTATTACCCTCTCCGGCCCACCCCCTATTGTCATGCCTTTCAGAAATAGCCAGGTCTTCTAGGTGGAGATTTAGAAAACAGGGTCGCTGGGGGCTTGCCCGCCCCCTATTCTCACGTCGGAAAACACGGGTCGAATTTCCGCTCACTTCAGAGCAGAATAAATCACGACCCCAGCAGAGGAAATTTACACCTTGGAAAAAAGTTTTCCACCTGAATCAGAACATCAGGGAAAACTTTTAGAGCTCCAGGCGATGGTTTTATGGCCCGGAAACCAGAGAAGCAGGCGGAGCTGAAAGTGGTGACTCCCCAGGACTCCTGACTAAGACCAGAAGCCGGCAAGGGAAGGTCCTAGGGAAAGTCTGGGAGAAGCTGGAGAGTTCTTTAACAGTGCCTGGGTCCCCAGTCCCCCAAACAGATGACCCAGAGGAAAGGGGAGCCTGCTCTCCTTCAGTATTCCGTCAGACTCTCCTGGGATTTAATTTGGGAGTGGGTGTCAAATTTTCCCATCTAGATATGGGAAGCAGTTCCTGGAGAAAAAGAAGTGGAAGGTAGGGAACTCTAGGCAGTTCTGGCGTGTTAGCAAAATATAGACTTTGGCTTCCCTCCACTTGCCCTGGGAAACAGGTTTCTCTCAGCAGGGATTCCTATCTGGCTGCTCTGATGCCAGAGGACAGCAGGGAAGAGCACTGATCAATCTCCCTACCTATGGAGTCTGAAATCAGGCATACCCTTGATGGGTGGAAATGCGGTTACTTTCCAGTAGTGCAACCTGGGGCAAATTACTTAACAGCTCTGGGCTTATTCCCAATTTTAAAATAGGCATATTGCTCTCAAAGGAGTTAGTCTGCTGATTAAAGGAGTGTATATAAATGCTTATCACAGTGATCAGAAAGTGGTATTCACCTTCACTGTGTACCTTCCACACCAGTGCTGTTAACATGGGAGAAGGAGGGACACTGAAAGGTGTTTGATGGTTATCTGCCACTCACTGACTGTGACTGTGGGAAGTAAAGAACTGATAGATTTCCACATCAGAGCTTGCCCATCCCACAGGGTCTTCATGAGACTTGAATCAGGAAAAGTAAGCCAGGCACACAGTAGAGCCTTCCTTAGTCAGAGGCTTTCTGTCTTCTACATCTAAATTGTAGGCTGCATCCCAGTGTGGTTCTGTTAGACAGGAGAGAGACCTGGAAAACTGTCTGTCCTGTAGAGGGAGAAGGAAACTGGAGTTTGCTCTGTTTGATGGTTGCTCTTACAGAAAGTCCCGGTTGCATCCAGATCTATCAACAGTTCACCTTGACCTTCCCAGAGTTTGGGCAGGAATGAAAAGAGATGTGGCAGGTGGACTAGGTATCCCAAATCACTTTTGAATAGAAGCAGTCAGAGCTGACAATTTGTGATGCAAGAGGAGACATAGTAAATTGGGGCCCACTATGGACTTCTTTATGCTGCTATTTCTGGTGTTTCATAGATCCCAGGGGTCTCATTTAACAGGTTGGATTCTCTTTGCTTAGATTTTAGATTCTTGGGAAGGAGATGGGTTGTCAGACTAAGAGATGGATTAAAGTCCTAAGTCCCCCACCATGATACTACTAAAACCTGGATTTAAACCCAGTTATAGTGACCATCAAAAATCACCCTTGCCCTCCATTGTGTGTACTGGAGAATAGATTCTGTTGTTTACTGACTTCCAGATGTGCAATACTATGGCTAATTGCTAACAGAGGCTACACTATCAGTTTGCTTCCTCCCTGCAAGGAGTAGCAAGAACATATTGTCATTACAGTTTGCACTTTGGAGGTTACCAGTAATAACTCTGGAAAACTGAGCTTGCAGTAGTGGTAATAGTGACCTCTTGCCTCCCACCCCTAAGCTGCCCAAGCACAGCTCAAGCTTAAGAACCTCTTATCTGAGCATCCGTGTATGTTTGTTTTTGCCTTTTAGAGCCCGTGTATGTCCCTTTCCTGATCGTCGGCTCCATCTTCATTGCATTCATCATCCTGGGCTCATTAGTGGCTATTTATTGTTGCACCTGTTTGAGACCCAAGGAGCCCTCGCAGCAGCCCATCCGCTTCTCACTCCGCAGCTATCAGACAGAGACCTTGCCCATGATCTTGACCTCCACAAACCTTAGGGCACCTTCTAGGCAGTCCAGCACAGCCACCAGCTCCAGCTCCACGGGTGGCTCCATCCGTAGGTTCTCCTTCGCCAGGGCTGAACCTAGCTGCCTTGTGCCCTCACCACCCCCACCTTACACTACCGGCCATCCAATCCACCTGACCCAACCGTCAGGTTTCCTGGTGTCACCCCAATATTTTGCCTACCCACTTCAACAGGAGCCCCCACTGCCTGGGAAGAGCTGTCCAGACTTCAGTTCCAGTTGACAGGTCATGGCCAAGAACCCACCACAGTAAAATGGCAGACAGATGGCACACTGCTGCAATTGCCACACTCATTTCTGAGGACTTTTCCCTGGTATACTTGTCCTGGAAGAGAGTGTTAGGAAAATACAGCGCCTTCTAGTCTTAAGGTTCCTGGGTCTAATCGCAGAAGGTCTGGATTTGCAAACCTGGTGACCACTGCATTTCAATGTTTGCTCCTTTTATTCAAAATATGTAGCAGTTTGACTTTAAAGTTGCAAACTCGCTGAAAATATTTCACTGCATAACTCAGCTATACTGCCTAGAAAATGACTACATGTTCTTTTTTCATATGCTTATCGAGTTGTAATACAAATGCATACGTGAATAAGGAAGGAAAAAGACCTAATTGTAATTATCAAAGGTTCACTTAAAATTTAACTATTAAGTGAATTGAGGGGGCAGTGAACCATCTATTTATGATTTGGGGAATAATCTAATCATGAATAATATTAGCATGATGAGAACATTTACTTTTTAAATTAATAACTAAATTTTGTTTATAGTGAGTTCTTTTCAGAATACAAGGTTTCAGTAACCACATGAAGAGTTTAAAGTTTTAAATACATAGACGTTCATTGTAACACAGATTCTGCGTAAAATCGCTTCCCCCTCCCACCGAGGGAATATTTATTGCAGACTTTTTGTTCAGCAACATTTAGTGTTTAAATGAAAGTTGGACAATTGAGTCTTAAAACCTGTATTTGTAAAATGAGTTATGTATAAATGTAAAGATTTGTAATTTAATGTATTTACCACATTGACGATACTAATTATTTAGTAGTCACACTGTAATTTTTATGTTAATAACAACTGTGGAATTCAAAGTCTAGCTATTGCTATAATCCTCCCTAATGTTATGTATCTCAAGTGCCACTGAATTCCATGTCTGATGACTACGTATTTGGGTATATATGCTGCGGGGTTAGAATAAATAAAGTATGTTTTCATGAACTCTGTCTGAAATATTAAATGAAAGTTCTTCATTTTATCTCCTTAGTGATGATTCTTTGCTTTTCAATAAAAGGAAATGCCTTTACTTAACACATAGCTCATATTTTAAAATTAAAAGAAATATCTGTATCAGGGCTTGTGAAAACCACAAAGAAGGTAAATTTTTATAGCCATCTTAGACTATGGGCTGCTTGCAGCCCTTAGATGTGTCATTTGGCCTATGAGAGTTTAAAAATCTGGACATTCTCCTAAGGATCTGCATTTCTGGCTTCTCATGACATATAGAAGATGTGGCACCGTGAGTCCTATGCTGCCGTGGGGTCCAGCAGCCCTCTCAGACAGAACGCCTGCCTGGTCTCCCCTACCTGGCCTTCCTCCTGCTCCTTTAGTTATGTTTTCTCTCCTGCTGGCATGTTTATACTATCACATAGCACCCTCAGTATTCCTTTTCAAAACTAGATAGAGGTAGAATTCTGACCTAGAGTTGAGCAGCCTGCCTTTTTGTTTTTCTGTCGAGGAAACCAGTTCAAAGACTTTTGCTCTTGCCCAGTCCAATGGTAGAGGAGTGCTGTTTTTCCCATATTTAGAAGTGGCTAGACTTCCAGACATCCCAGATTTTTCAAAATAATTTAAAGAAACAGCTAAATGCAAAAGGAAAAAACATTTGTGAGCATGCTTTAGAGCATGCTCCTGTATCATTTTATTAATATTTGCTGCTCCTTTTATAGATTTTTTTTTGGAGGGGGGGTGCCAGGGATTGAACTCCAGGGCATTCAACCACAGAGCAACATTACCATCCCTATTTTGTACTTTATTTAGAGACAGGGTCTCACTGAGTTGCTTAGTGCATCACCATTGCTGATGACTGAACTTGGAATCCTCCTGGCTCAGCCTCCTGAGCCGCTGGGATTACAGGTGTGCACCACTGTGCCTGGCTTCCTTTTATAGTTTTAAGTTAACCTTATTGATTTGTCATTATGAGCCAAACACTCTGCTATACACTTACATATGTTTACTCACTCCATCCTCCAAACAACCTCAACAAGGAGGATTTATACTTCCTATTTTATAAGAATTCTTATTTTACAGATTTGGTAACAGAGGCATGCAGTAACTTGCCCAGAGTCCCACCCACAGCTAGTCAGTACTGGAGTTGGTATGAAAAAACAGATTCAAACATCAGGGGTACCTGCTTTGAGATGTTGATGCTTCTAGGTACAAAATACAATGGAGATTTCAAAGGCATGAGGACTGGCCTCTAGGGTGGTGATTCTCAATCTCATTGAACTCAATGGATTTTCCTTAGAACAAATATTTTATGACATTACTTTCACTGTTTGAGAATGAAATTCATAGAGAATATAACTCACAATACCCATAATTTTAAAAAAATCAATGCAATGCCCTGATGGTAAATAGAAAGGAGAAAGAAAAGGATGTTAACTTATTACAAAGTGTAACAACTTGGACAGACTTCACAAAGGACTCAGATGCTAATCCCTTATACAGTATCACAGTGTTGTAACAGCTCCAATTACAGATGGATGCAGGTTTATTAGACTGGCAACTCAAAGCAGTTGCACTATAGCTATTAATGTGAATTCTTCAAACAAAGCAAAGTTTGATTTTCCTTTGATTTGTACTGTAGTTGTATAGCTGGAAAATTCAATCTAAAATGAAGGTAGTGCAAAAAGTACTTTGTCCACAGGCAGAGTGGGATTGGGTTTTCCACTGATGGGAATGGTGGGACATTCCAAAGTCATGCTGATGGATAATAAGTCTTTATTGTGCAGACTGCCCCATGCCTTGTATAGGATCTCTGTTATAACAAAGTTCCTTACAATGAAAGCCAGGAGCACACCCACCACCACCCCAAACATTCTTCACCAAAGACCCCCTCTCCCCCAACACACCATTCCACAGTGTCCTCTGGAGACTGCTCCTTCTGAGGACTATCTAGTTCACCAGGTTTCTCTAGTGGTTGTGCTTTTATTTGCCATTCCTTTGGAGAGCAGTTGATGTCCATTAGTGGCACAAAGGTTAAGGAATTCATAGAGAGCTTGTATCTGTAATTTTGCTTGCCTTAGCAGGATGCCCCAATCAATCAAGTTAACTGGCCATAAATTGTTTAAAATTAGGGAGATATTGTGTACCTAGTAATATGGTATTCATTTTTTCCTTCCATATTTTTAATGGTGCATTATAGTTGTACATAATGGTGGGATTTGTTGTTACATAGTCATACACACACAATAGAACAATATAATTAAACCAGTATCATTCCCCAGTATTTCCCCTCTCTCTTCTCTCTTCTCTTTCCCTGGTCCCTCTGCTGATCTCCCGTAGATTTTCATGAGCTCTGCCCCCACACCTCTGCCACCTTTTTCATTTTTCTCTCTAGCTTCCATGAGAGAAAACATACCATCTTTGATTTTCTGAATTTGGCTTATTTTGCTTAACATTTGAAATTTCCAAGGACATGCTCCCCACCACCTGCCACTACCACAAAATCCAGTGTACATTTTTTGAAGCTTTCATAAAGAATTTGAGTACAATCTCCTAAAACCATGATTATTGGGAAAAATAGAATTCTGTTCTGAAAAGTAGTTAGTTATGCCAGCAATGGGAAATCACTTATTAAGCACCATGTATGTCCCAAATGCTTTATGAACTGTATCTTTTCATATGAAGTGTGGACTGTTACCAGGCCTATCTTAAGAGACAAAGAAATCAAGGCAGGACAGTTAAATACCATGTCCAAGGGCACATAGACAATAATAGTAGAGCCAAGATTTGAATATAGGTGGTCTACTTATCAATTGCATATTCTTTGTGACATTAGTCTTTGATGGCCTAATTTTCTCAGGAAAAATAATCCAACCTCCTTTTCAGAAAATCGACTTTGGGAAAAAATGATTATGTAATTCATACATATCCTGGGGTTGTAATAGAGTTTGTGCTACATTAAGAAAATGTGTACCAAAAACATGAAAAGATATATATCCTATGGTAAACATTTCTCCCATTACATGTCAGAAACTTAGGACTTCAGAGGGGAGTTAAGCATGGATTTTGAGCCAGCTTCTGGGTTATAGCTTTCTGGCTCTGTTACTTAAAAGAGTACTGACTTTGTGCCCCTGCTGTTTCCTCATTTGTAAATCAGGGATATTAATAGTACCTTTTTGCTCAGGGTTGTCTTAATAAGCAGTTAAGAGACTATCTCAAATTATTTGCATTCTAGCAGGGAGGGGCTTTTAGTAAGTTAATGATAAATCACAGAGGAAATAACATAGAATAAAAATGAAAGACTGAATACTGTGGGAAGGCAGACATCATTCTTGATGAGGGGCAGGGAGCAGAGAAAATGACCCATTTTTGATAGAGCTAGTCCTTGATAACCCATGGTCCCTTTTGACATCTGGCTAACTTCCTGTTACTGCCAAGGCCTCCGCCATGGTGGGAACTCATAGTTGGCATTGGTCAGCTTTCTATTACTAGAATGAAATATCTGTGCCAAAGTTAAAAGCTTTACCTTGACTCTCAGCTTTGGAGGTTTCAGAACATGATAAGTCACCCTATGGCTTTGGGCACATCATGGTAGAAATGTGTGTCACAGTGAAACTGCTTACACCATGAGTCGGAGAGCAAAGCAAGAATGAAGGAGGGCCAGGGTTGCCCAACCCCCTCTGAAAGGATGTCCCCAGTGATCTAAGGACCTCTCATTAGGCCCCCACCTCCTAGAATTTCCACCACCTTCCAACATCACCACTCTGAGGACCAAGCCTTTAACACAAGAGCCTTTGGGGACATTCAAGATCCAAACTATAGCATGGGCTATTTATCCTGTGCTTCAGAAAACATATTTAACATAGTAAATTTGTAAATTTATTATTCATTTTAAGATCAATATGCTTTTGTTGTCCCAATGAACAGATTTTTCCTCTTATTTTTCTCATATTTACTCTTTATTGATGTTATTATGAGCTACTTCTGCTGGAGAATTTATCAGATTGAGATGAATCTATGGGAAATGTTTTAAAATGAGAAAGTCATCCA